CCCTGGCTCCCTGACCCTGCGTGTGGGCCGCAGGTGCAGGTCAACAAGCAGGCGGTGGCCCTGCCCTACAAGAAGTACGGGCTGCAGGTGTACGAGTCGGGCATCAACTACATGGTGGACATCCCCGAGCTGGACGCCCTCATCTCCTACAACGGCCTCTCCTTCACCATCCGGCTGCCCTACCGCGCGCTCTCCCCTGCAGGCGAGATGGTGTACAACGGCACCCACGGGGAGACCTGCTACTACGTGAACTGCTCCCTGAACTGCTCCTTTGAGATCTTCAATTGGCCCTGCCCGTCCACACCCTCCACGCCGTCCACGCCCTCCACGCCGCCCACGCCCTCCACGCCGACAACCCCTTCGACACCCAGCACGTCCACGCCCACCACCCGGCCACCCACCACGTCAAGCACGCCGACCACCACCAAACCCCCCGGGTGCCCGGACTTTGATCCTCCCAGAAAGGTCAGTGGGCTGTGGGCGGCTTTGGTCCCCTCAGCGCTGGATGCGCGGTCCAGGTCTGAAGCCCCGGGGGCTGCCTTCCTGCCCCCTGCGTCCCGAGCCTGCGAGGCCCCCACTGCCCCACAGGATGCCTTTCCGCAGGCACAGGGCCCTCGGCCACCACTGAGTGGTGGGGGGTGTGCCACACTGTTGGGAGGGGTGTGTGGGGCCAGGGCTGGGCGGGGAGCAGAGGCTACCAGTCGGGTTCTCAGAGGTCCTCCCTCCAGTCCGCTCCCACCTGCGGGCCAGGGGCTCCACCCTGCGGGCCTCGCGGCTACTCATACTGTGGACCGTGGGCCTTGCTCATCGGCCCCACCTTAGACGGAAAGCCCGGACGTGGGCGTGAGCCCCTCCGTGCCAGGCGCCACGCCGTGGTGAGGTGCCAGGCCCCTGCAGCATCGAAGGTGAGTGACGCCACCAGCCTCCCCTGTGACCTCCGTTCTCGCAGGCACGCCGACCGCCTCGCCTTCCACACAACCCCCGTCCACCCCCACCCCCACGACTGTGTCAACGACGACCACGGGAACCCCTACTCCGCCCGGACGCCCATCAACCACGCCGACCACCACCGCCTCCACCGGTGTGCCCACCTCCTCGTCGACCCCGAGGGTCACCCCTCCCATCATCACAGTTTGCTGCGTTTTGAATGACACCTACTATGGCCCAGGTACCCAAGCGTTCTCTTCCGATCTCAGGCAGAGCGGCTGCCGGGACAGTGGTGGGGAGTCAGGTCCGCGGTCTAGCCCAGGAGCTGCTGGGGAAGTCGCATGCTGCGGGTGGCTGTCCCTGGCCGGCCCCTCCTCGCTGC